TTGTGTATGGAATATGGTGTGCTTGATGGGCTAGCCTATCTATTCAAGCATGGTCAGACATCGCTGAAACCATTGTGAAACGTAAACCTACGCGTCAACAAGATTGCTGGGCGTAGGCGGCTAGGCCGGCTGGCTGCCGGCGTAACCTGCCTTTCGGGTCAGTCCAAGGACAGTCCGACCTGTTCCCTTTATTTATTTATTTATTTATTTTAATTTTTTTTTCAACAAAACAGAATTATATTGCAACATTCATCAGAGGAGGTCGGGGACCTCACACTTCAGCCCGGAGTTATCTCGGCAGCATCAACCGGTTTTGCTTACAGCCTGAGGCTTGAACTTGTCACTGAATCTACTGCATGACTAAACTTCCATCTGGCTAAAATACTACTGTCCGGGCTGCCTAGGGCATGCTCAGCGTATACCTAGCCTGAGTATAAATGTCAACCGGATCTAATTTAGCTCTAGAGTTCAACCCTTGCGGAGGAACTGCTCTATAACTGAAGAGACAAGCTCTGATCTAGTCTAATCATTCGGTGCATTTACTGTTCTTCTTACTTGGATCAACGAGTCGCTTCTGTTGTTGGCACTGTAAGGCAGGCCTACTCACGGTCCGCCAAACTGTCTATTCGCGGCAGCTTGGAACTCGCGTTCCTACCGAGCCAGTGTCACTCTGCCACCCTCCTCCCCAAAGTGCCTCCTGCGGCGTCACAACTACTACTACTGTGGGAACCAAGTGCCCTAGTTCCCGTTCCCTTTATTTATTTATTTATTTATTTATTTTTCACAGAAAGATATCACTTTTATTTCAACAACACAAGGGAGGTCGGGAATCCTTCCACAAACAACTCGGAAAAGGCTGGGACCATTACCCAAATTAGGTTTGGGTGGTGGACCAGAATGTCCAGAGGTAGAATTTGGCCAAAACAAGACCGCTACCCTGACTAAAAGTCCACCCCTCAGAAAAGAAAACGAAAACCACAAGGCCTGAAAACCCACACAAACCGAAAGATACTAACTATACTAGGACCCCATGCCCATCTACCCAAAAAAGGAAAAACTAAAAAAACCAACAGCAGAGATACTAAAAAACCAAAAACATCTAATGCTACGTACCACTGAATCCAAACTCCACCTACAAACGGTGGAGCCTAAGGTCTGAAAAATACCTCCCTCAACAAACTGACACTCCCTCCACATAACAAGTCCCACTGCTTGCCTACTGTGGCTGATACGCAACCGAGCAGTCCAGGTTGCTAAAGAAAGGACCAAGCGCCCTGGTACAGGGGGCTTATCCTACCTAATCTACTTATCAAAGAACCATTGGTCTAACTTCCCCGCTGACATTATCTGAGCCACCCTGTCTCCAATACACCAGGTGCGGGCAAACCACCTCCTTCCCGCCAAGCATGTCCCACAATTCTTCCGTCTCCAGTCGGCCTGAATAGCCCTCCGCAGTAGCGTACAGAAAGAGAAACTGATTTCTTTGTTAGTAAGTTCTCTGTTGTTGAAGAGCCTATTGTTCCTCTCCTTCTAGATCACTTCCATGCCTACTGCTCTGGTTGTTTGGGCAACGTAACCCCAACCCACTTCTAACTGCAGGAGACCGGGATCCCTAGAAAAGACCTCCCTCAACAAACTGACACTCCCTCTACATAACAAGTCCCACTGCCTGCCTACTGTGGCTGATACGCAACCAAGCAGTCCAGTTTGATAAAGAAAGGACCAAGCGCTCTGGTACAGGGGGCTTATCCTACCTAATCTACTTGTCAAAGAACCATTGGTCTAACTTCCCCGCTAACGTTATCCGAACCACCCTGTCTCCAATACACCAGGTGCGGGCAAACCACCTCCTTCCCGCCAAGCATGTGTCCACAATTCTTCCGTCTCCAGTCGGCCTGAATAGCCCTTCGCAGTAGCGTACGGAAAGAGAAACGGATTTCGTTGTTAGTAAGTTCGCTGTTGTTGAAGAGCCTATTGTTCCTCTCCTTCCAGATCACTTCCATGCCTACTGCTCTGGCTGTTTGGGCAAAGTAACCCCAACCCACTTCTAACTGCAGGAGTCCGGGATCCCTCCCAACAAAACCCATTCCCTGATCCATGACAGACTCTTATCTGCTATCTTGGACCAGAATCAGTTCCACCATAGCCAAATATGGTGGGAGCTCGGACAGTCCCACTATAGGTGGGGAATGGATTCAAACGCCCACTGGCATCTGTGACACGTTAACTCCACCTGAAACCCTCTTTGTATTAGCCATACCGTTGACGGGCTCGCAAGAAAAGAAAGAAGCCACAACAGTGCCGCTTGTCGCTGGTTGGGGATTAGTCGAAGCTGTTCCCAACATCTTGAAACAGTCGTTCTGATTGCTTCTGGTGGGAGTTGGAGGACCTGCATCCATCTGCTTACTGCTACTGCCAAGGGCTGCCGTGGAGGGGCTAGAAGCTTGTACCCCAGTTGAGGCTGATACTTCATCAGAGGTAAGTTCTCATCGTTTTTACCTCTTGCTCTCCAGGACCACAATGCCGGGTTCAATCTCAAAGCTGAGATTGGTAGACCATTCGAAAGGGCCGTGCATATTAGATTGTCATTTCTGTCCTGCTCTTCCATCACTCTCACCTGCATAAACTTCTCCCCCAGCTCCAGTTGTCTGTCCTCCAACTGGCATAGGAGCTGAGTCTCTGTTATACCAGGCCGTAGTTGCCAGCATTGGAACAGTCTCTTTCTCTCCGAGTAAGAGATGAGTTTCCAGAATTTCGTTGAAGACTGATCAGTACAGGTCTGATACCAAGTACCCGGGGGGTCCAACTGTGCTGGATCGATTAAGTTCTTTCAGGCTTCCGGGATTGCAACGACAACAGCAGCTAACTGCCTGGAGCTGCGTCTGCTTTCAACCAGTTCCCGGAAGTGTCACAGACGTGGGGGTTTTCAAAAATTGGTTCATTGAAGAGCTCCTGTTTTGTGACTGGCTGTTCCCAGACGTCTGGTCGTAATTTCCTTCAAGCCTTGACGATAGGGGCCCAAAAGGGGGAATGGATAACTCTCCTATGATAAGAGTACATTAGGAAGGCCGTCCAAACGTCCCAAGGTCGGCTTAGATGCCACTCTTCCATAAGGATTTTTTCCCCTAACAGTACCCAATGCTCCGCTTCCTTGGATGAAGCTGCGGCTGTAATCCATCTTGCCAGCATCGCTGCGTTTTGTCTATCTAGGTCTGTCATGCCGAGATCTCCCTCTTCCCGCGAGTTGCAGATTAGATCTCATGCTATCTTGGAAATAAAGGTTTCATTCTCAGTCGAAAAGGGTTTCCATAAGAACTTAGCTGCCTTCCGTCTCAACATAGGGAGCAGTTGTTGGCCCAATCTCTCTACTGCGCTAACAAACCAGAGCAAGGCAAACAGTGAGGTGTTCAAAACCACGGCCCTGCCGAAAATCGATAGATGGGGAGCTTTCCCCCACGTGGCTAGTCTGTGCACTACCTTCTGGAGCAATAGTCCGTCCTGATCCACAGAGCAATCCATCAGTGCTACCTGAACCCCTAGGAATCTCTCTCACTCATTCAGACCTACTTGTCTCATTCCCCATCTCGCACTCGGAGTATGGCGACTCGGGAGCAAGAACACTGACTTATGCCAGTTAACTGAAGTGTAGCGGACCCACCAGGTGTGGTGCTCCGCTAGTGACAGAGATGGAGATGGAGGAAGAAGGGGGAGCAAGATGGCACAACGCAGCTCCCCACGCAAGACTCCAACGCACATACTCCAAAATGTGCAAGTGAGSAATGAGACTGAAAACAGACAATGGCTGGGGTATACCCTAGCGGACTGACAGGACTGGACTGGACTGGCTGGTACCGACAGAGGTACCGGCCTGGACTGGCCTACCCCGAATATAACACAGGTCTGTGTGAACAGGCCAAGGGGCTGGTCTCACAGGCCAACCCGAGGTCCGCTACACGATCCTCGGCCTATGATGGATCGCCTAGATACAAACATGCTTCCGTCAAGAAGTGGAACTCTACCAAAGAAAAGAAAACTTGAGTAGTCTAAGATGCAGAGCAAGCTCCATGCTGAGTCCATGCGATGCAACCTAGGATATAAAATGTCACAAAACAGCAATGTCACAGCTAACAGCCTAAGTGAAAGTAGGAGCAACTAACTAACATACATRTCCTAGGAAAGCAAAAAGTAGTGACAACTAGATCCTAGAATGTTGGAGGCACTAGCCTCAGTCTGGTAACAACTGACTAGTGTATAAGTCCTAAGAACAGCAAAAGCAGAACAGCTAAATCCTAGAAACGTCGGAGGCAGTAGCCTCAGTCTGAGAGCAACAACGCAATCAACAAGACAACCATATGTCACATGAGAAGTGTGTCGCACACCAAAGGGTGGGATGGTCTCTGAGGGTGGCGAATGCAGCCTATGGGTCGAAAACTACTAAGGGCATCCACACATAGTGACAGGGGAAAACACATGTCATCAGGCTCAATGAGGGTAGGGAACTGGGAGCGAACAGAACCAGTGACCCTAACAGATAGACCATCAGGGCGGGTAATGCTCGACTAAGGGGTGACTGCTATGGAGGGTCGACCATGCAAGGGAACAAGGGAGCCTGGTATACTGGGCGCACCTAGATGAAGCATGCGGGGCTGCCTAACTAGGGCGTGAGGGCCGGCGAAGGGTAGAAAGATGATGGGTAAGGGAATCATGCAAATGACTCCTAAAGTGAGGGAAGGCGGAGCTAGATCCGTAAGATGGGAAGCCAGGGCAACGCTACGGTCCCGATGCCTATGCGTATACCAAGGGAGAGCCCAACTCAGAGGAACCCGGCTAAAGGGAGACCATCATGCGACACAAGCAGGGTACTGTACAGGGTAGAGTGGTAAGAGAGTGGCGATGTCTGAAGTAGGCAGAGCTGATCGTGATGAAGTCCATGAAGCTGCCGATGACGCCCACAATGAGAAGTCTAGAATGCCGTCGAGGAAGAGCCGCAACGTCGACGAGCTGAAGTAGCTAAACTGATGTGGATGGAGTACTGAGAAGTCAAAGACGTGGGAAGGTAAGTCAGAGTCAATCGTCGTATCGAGCAGGACGACGACGAGTGCGCTGTGGACGCTCAGAGGCATCCGGCTGCTGCTGAAGGTCTGCCTCAGATGGAGTAGGCTCGACTTCAGCGGTCTCCTTAGCCGGAGGAGAAGGAGGAGGGTCAGTGGGCTGAGGAGGAGCAGTGAACCCAGCACGACGACCACGGTCATAGGCACGCACCAACATGCGAGCGTGCTGCAAGTGCTCGAGGGGCTCCCAGGTAGCCTCCTCATCAGGGTAACCCTTCCAACGTACGAGATACTCGGCGTGCGGAGGGTTGTCGTCGGTGACTCGGCGACCAATGATGTCTGAAACGAGGAACTCCTCGTGGCCGTCCACCATGATGGGTGGAGGGCGCTCGTATGGTCGTCCAGCGAAACGCTCAGACGGTCTGCGGCAAGGACGCAGTAACGAGACGTGGTAGACATCATGCACACGAGCCTGGCGTAGGTAGTCGGGCAGCTTCACACGAAAGCTGACCGGGCTAGATGCCGTATCAGAACCGACGGCCTGGAGGATGCGGCATGGGCCAAAGAAGCGACGYCGAAACTTGCGAAGCGTGTCCGCTTCGAGCTGTAAGTGGCGGGCGTCGATAARCACATCATCACCGACCTTGAATGGGTGGTCCATCCTCGATCGGTTCGCACGTGCTGCCATGCGAGTCTGGGAAGCGGCTATGTGCTCATGTGCGGTCTTCATAATCGACGTCATGTGTGCAACCCAATCATCCAGCGCAGGACAACTCGTGTCGAGGTGCATCTGGGACGGTCGAAGGAAGTCCGCGGGAACACGCGGGTGATAGCCGAGGTCGCAATAGTAAGGCGACATTCCCGTGGCTGGCGAGACGGCGTGGTTGTAGGCTATCTCCGCGTGGGCAAGATGGAGATCCCACTGCTGGTCGTCACGAACAATCTTTCGGAGAATATTCCCGAGAGTACTATTCGTGATCTTGGTCTGACCATCAGTCTGAGGATGGTAAGGCGAGGAGAAGTGGAGCTGAGTGCCGTACACCTCGTGGAGCCGTCGCCAGAATCGGCTGGTAAAGCGCGGGTCACGGTCAGATATGATGCTCAGAGGTAAGCCGTGGTCACGCACGACTCGGTCAAATACRATGTYGRHRACSTCACGTGCACTGATGGCATAGCGGCACGGAACAAAGCGTGCACGCTTCGTGAAGYGGTCGACGACGACCAGGATAGCATCATGACCGCGGGGGGTCGGAGGTCGAAGAGGACCGATAGAGTCCATCGAGATGGACTGCCAACGACCCTCA